ACATTACCTCAGGCTAACCAGTTCATTTGATTAAGTTCCTCAAGATATTCATACACTTCCTAGTATAATTGTAAACTTCCTGTTAAATGGTTTGAATGCACCAATCACCTTTGTTGTTTGTGCAACTAACCAATCATAAATAGAAAGGAAGTGACCAGAAATGATTAAATACTTGGAATTGGCTCTTTCACAGGAAGTGTTTGAATATCTGGAGGAACTTGATGAAATGAGATGCTTGTGTGATGTTACTCTGAGTGTATATCCACACCGGGCAGGCTTGAAAAATATGCCTGGCCACAGTGGGATTTGAACCTACGACCTTTGGAATACTAGCCCAAATGCCAATGCTCTGTCAACTGAGCTATGCGGTCAGGTTGGTTTGAATCCCAATGTGGCTTGGCATATTTTTCAAGCTTACCTGGTGTGGATATGCACTCAGAGTAACATCACACAAGCATCATATTCACAAATATCATGGTTATTAGATTACACTGATATCGAAGGAACTAGACTCAGTTCCAAAATATCGCATACTCGAACTGCCCCGACTGTATAGCTCAGTTGGCAGAGCATTGGGCCAGTATTCCAAAGGTTATAGGTTCAAATCCCACTGTGGCCAGGCATATTTTTCAAGCCTGCCCAGTGTCGTGGATATCCACTCAGAGTACGTAACATCACACAAGCATCTTATTCACCTGAGTACATGTATTACACCGACAAAGCAAATATCTTGATGGAATGAATTGGTCAGCCCGAGGTAATGTATTGAATCAATATTTGAGGAACACTTAAAAATAAGGTATGAATCGCATAAAATGCAGATATCAAAATCAAACATTGTAACTCGAGCATAAAAATGTGCATATTTGTTTTAAAAGGCGATTGTTCCTTGAATGTTCAATGAAATAGTGCCATTGCCTTTTACAAGGAAGACCATTATAAAGAAATACACTTGACTTTCTTCATTGCCATCTGGTACTTAGTACAGATATCCCATATTTTCTTGATAAATTCATACCTGAAAGCGGAATACATACAGGTGTAAAAAACTTTAATGGTGATATAAGTGCTTTATATTCCAAAGAGTTGGTTTTCCCCACAATTTACTAATAGAATAAACTGGTATTAAAATCTCTAAAAAAACCTTTGTCACTCAGGGAAATTTACATTGGGAAATTTATAGCAGTACATAGCAGTACGGTTTTCAACAAGCTATATTTGCTTAATTTTACTTGCTGGGAATTGTTATAATACTCGTGTTTTAAAGAATAATCTTGATAGTCAGTTGCAACACAAATTCACAATACAAGAATTGATAAATCATTTCAATGACTTACATGCTTTGTTCTTGTGGCCGTCAAGCTCCATTCATGTCTTTTTTTATTAATAGCTTTCGGTCTTTATTGATTTATACGCGCAGTTAGAATAATACTGTATTTTCAAAAGGACGAAAATCAAAAATATACTCTCTGTCGATCAACTAATATAAACATACAAAATCACTGTAAAATCCAGGGGGGGTTGAACTTTGTCGCCCACGAACATTCGAGCCACGGGTCAGTGGAAACCCCCATGAAAATAGGTCGATTGTGACGTCAAATCCGCCATGTTTTTGGCCACACACTTTCGTCGAGAGCACGATCTCCAGATATATAAGTATAGCTCAGTGGTCTTACTGTTATGGCAAGAAGTTATTTTATTAATTATGACAACATTATGATAATTATGTCATATTGAATCATGAATTTCTTGTGACGTTGGTTAGAGGTTTATTCCATTGATTCAATTTTTTACATTTTTGTTCCATTCTAGCCAATCGTCGTCATGGCTCCATCGCCATCGTTGTGTTCTGATGTTGTGCAGTCTTTAATAACGTGAGATATATTTGATACAATGATTTCTAAGTTGTTCGTATAGTTTTGGATCGCGATAAGTGCTATTTAAATCACAAGCAGGAGTGCTTTTCAGCTATAAAACACGAGGCGACAGCCGAGTGTCTTATATGTGATAAAGCACGGACTGCGAGTGTTTTAAATGGCTTTAAAAACTACCCATCTTGCGGGTTTATTGGCGAAGTAATTTTAATGTGGAGAAAATCAAAGCTAAAGTTTATGTAAATGAAGATGATTTTTTATCACATATAAAACCACCGACACGGCAGTGATTTCCTTTGTCTTTTCTTCATGAATTATTAATGAGTTTTTTTTATACTGTCTAAACGTTGGTTTCTGGAAACGCCACGTTTGTCTTTCCCGGGCATATTGTGCAATGACCAAAACCGCGGATCGCTCAAAAAAGCGCGTGTTGTTTTTTTATTTTCAAAAATTTCGGAATGAATGTTCTTACGCGATTCACTATGGGTGCCTTATTAAAGTTGTTGAGTCAATATTTTTGCAGTGCATCGATGTGTATAACACCATAAAAAACACGTGACTATAAGAGCCATCTATATATGTACTAGTGAATTATTTCAATACATCAAATTGAGCCAACCTTCCAAACTGTCCAGCGGCAAAACGGGTCACGTGAACAACTCATGCTTACATTATATGGACGACAATTATAAAAGACAGTAATATTCTTGGAAAACTCATTATTGATTCATGATTATGATTATGATTATTGAGCTCACTCCCCATCGGGGCTTTTCAGTGACCGATTACATCAAGTATTACGATTACTTATATTACCTACTGAGCTTCGACTATTTATTTTTACAACGATTGTGATATTACTTTCCTAAACATGTTTATCCTATCCCGCCCTGTGGGAAAAAGCCGCGCTCCCGGAGACAACCCACGATTTTCGGCAGAGCGTGTGGACTCTTTTCGCATGCGTTCACACATGAGTCCATAGTGAGACTCGAACCCAGGATCTCAGAGGTAAACGGCGCTTGATCTGAAGAAAATTCGAAATAAATCAATGTTTAATGAGTTATTGTATCCACATATACAAAATTATCCTGATTTGCAATTTTGCATAAACTTTTTCTTCGATTTTCTCAGTTAAAATCATTACATTACATTCCATCATTATTCAGCCCACTTCCCATTGGGCTTTTCAGTGACCGATTACATCAAGTATTACGCTTACTTATGTCATTTACTTTGCCTAGACTTTTTATCTTTACAACAATTGTGATTACTTTCTTAACTGTGTTTATCCTAACCCACCCTGTCAACTTTCCCTGTGGGAGGAAACCGGAGCGCCCGGAGAAAACCCACGACTTCGCCCCCGAAGCCCCCTTATCACTCCTTTTTGAAAAATTTCTTAAAACACAGCTGTTGAAACTCTTATACATTTCACAAGCTATATACAGCATTCGCGCCAATGTTGTACCAGACATACAACGCCTTGCCTTCAGCTCGAGTTTGTATACAACACGGCCGCTCATGCTGTGTATATATATTACATATTTTATGCATGACATTAATTTTTTTCAGATTAATTCAGCCTCTTCATTTTAACTCGGACTTCAGACCGTTTTTTACAATACATGACAGCGAGTTCAAAGAATATACGACCAAGACGCACGCACCGTAAGTACAATACAGTAATACTCTATAATTTTAGAAAATATAAAAAAGTCAAATTCCCAATAATAATGCCAACTTGAAGTTCAAGATTTGAATGGACAACTTGCATGTTAGACTAAATTTTAATCTAAGTAAAGAGAAGGGAATCAAACCACACAGCTAAAAAGAACATAATGAAATTAGTAATTAAAATGCAAAATTTGGTTGCGAAATTTTGTATATGTTTGTATTACGTGTGGAAATTGTTACCATTTTCGGCTCAAAAATGGTAACAGTTTCCGCACGTAATACAAACATATACAAGATATGCAACCTTCGCAACGCTATATTTTCCGTATTTTACAACATTTTGTAACCAAAGTTTGCAATTTTACTATTTCACGGGATTTTACTTTTTTTTGCCTAGATCAAAAATTAGTCTTACTTTCAACTTGTGTATTAATACAAGACGAACGTTCAAAATTCAAGATTTGAATTAAGATTACCTACAAAAGTTCCGAAAAGTCTGCTTTTGCAAGGAATGTTTTCAACAAACGTTGTTCGTTCATGTTTTTTTCTGGATTATGTAAAGTGCGTTTTGCCATAAAATATTACAGCCTGTCAACCAGATGTGTTCTCATTGCATGTTCCCTTCAGTTGTTGACAAGTCTGGAACAAGTTGTTATTATCTTGTAACAAAGTTGATGAGGCCAACACACTCGCAACAAGTTGTTCCAACAAGTCTGATATCGTCTGCACGTAAGAAGTTGATGACAACAAGCTGGTAGCAACTTGTTACGAACAGTCTGTATTAGTCTTGTTGGAACAGTTTGTAAGAAGTCTGCTATCGTCATCAACTTTGTAACAAGGTGGTAACAACTTGTTCCAGTCTTTTCACAAATCTCACATCTTGTAGCAAGTCTGCCAACAAGCTCCGTCAACAAATTGTGTTCGCATTGATTGTCCAAGTTGTCAACAAGTTTGGAACTAGCTAGTAACAACTTGCAACGATCTTGTTGATATTATCAGACTTGTTGCAAGGTTGTTCCAACAAGTCCGATACAGTCATGATATAACAATATTGTTACGACCTTGTGTTGTCAACCTTGTAACAATCTTGTTATATCATGACTGTATCAAACTTGCTTGAACAACCTTGTCACAAGTCTGATAATGCCATCAAGCTTGTTGCAACTTGTTAACATGTTGTTCCAAACCTGTTACAATAACTGGGAACAAGCAGTGCGAACACAACTTTCCGACAGCTTGTGAACAGTTTTGTAACAAGTTGTTTGCAGACCTGTAACAACTTGTGTGTTTTTAGTTGTATAGTACGAACACATCCTGATATTATTATTATTATTTAATTAATCTTCTTTAAAAACAACGGTAGCCCTTCAGCATAGATAAGAGCTGTTTTCCAAGGGGCCGTTTCACAATACATATTTACAAAAAAAGTTGGGTTAATAATTAAAATTAGTATATAGTTACAAATTACACATTACACATTACACATTACACATTACACATTACACATTACATATTACACAGTGCACCACATAATACGATAAGACTTAAGTATTTTGTTGAGGTCTGTCCCGAAACAAGGTTTTAAATGCGTTTAATGACAAGCAATTGCTTTTCAGTTCTACTGCATGGTAATTCATTCCAAATTTTTACACCTGAATAGCTGATGCTTTTTTTAAAACGTTTGTTTTGGGCTTTTCTAATTTATAATCGACATTATTTCATAAATTTTAATTGTCATTATTTTTAACGACAAACAAGCTAGATATATTTTCTAAGTATTCACCATTCGCAACTTTATGCATAAATATCGCCTTATTATTACCCCATCTTTCCATCAATGGCTGCCATCTTAATTCTTGACTTAACAGCAACGTTGTTCTTCTCTTGCAGTCCACCTATCATAATTGGAGTGACCAATCCATTTTTCGCCAAAACCTTGCAACATTGGCCACATATCCTAAGAATTGGACCTATGAATAATTTAGGTGAGTTTTTTTTTAATTTCACGAGGTAATAAAAATACAAAATTGATGTGAAAGAAGTATAAAATTATGAAAACAGCAGGAAAGTACATAATCTCGCCTGTTGTGCGCATGTTAATCCAGTGATGCACACGGAGGTCATGTAGGATGAGGGGCAAATACCCCGCCCACCAGTAATTTCTGAAAGACTGTGAATGATATATCTGGCTGAATAACTGTGTAACAAAGTGTAACTATAATTTTTTAACCATGCATGAAAGCTATAATAGTGCATGGAATAATTTAATTTGGAGCAGAAAGAGTTTAATAAATCTATATAAATTTCCACTCGATAATTTCCATCTACAGTACAAGACCCTTCAACTATTATTCAATCGAGTGAGATGCCAACAAAATCTTGATATTTTTTTCTGTGTTGGTATAATGTACTCACATGAATATGATGCTAGTGATGTTACTCTGAGTATATATCCACACCGGGCAGGCTTGAAAAATATGCCTGGCCACGGTGGGAATCGAACCTACGACCTTTGGAATACTAGCCCAATGCTCTGCCAACTGAGCTACGTGTTCAGGTCGGTTCGAGTATGTGATATTTCGGAACTGAGTTTGGCCCCTTTGATATCAATGTAATCTAGTAATATGGGTTTTTTTCTCTGTTGTGCTAGTACTCCAAAGGTCGTAGGTTCGATTCCCACCGTCAGGCATATGCCCGGCATATTTTTCAAGGCATATGGCCAGGCATATTTTTCAGTCAAGCCTGCCCGGTGTGGCTCACGAATTGACAGTGAAAACATTGATCAGGATGATGTTTTTTACACTATAAAGATATTTCTTACACAACATCATTTTATAACTGTTTTTGTTGCAGTTATTGGAAGCAGACCGTCACCTCTGGGAAATGAAAAGAAATCATTCGAGGCAAAACCAGGTTTGATTTATATGGATTTGATATATATATATATATATATATATATATATATATATATATATATATATATATATATATATATATATATATATATATATATATATATATATATATATATATATATATATATATATATATATATGTACTATTTAAAAAACGAGCAGGAGTGTTTTATTAGATTTAAAGCCACGAGCGCGCAGCGCGAATGGCTTTAGACCTAATAAAACACGACCCGCGAGTTTTTAAATGACTTCAAAAACGTATGCATACGTATGCATCTTCATATATATATATATATATATGAAAGGGTTTCAGGCATCATGTCTCTTGTCTGGGATATATTATGTGAAGGTTCATTGTGGATGGAATTTCATTATAACAACATTTTATGTCTGTTGAAATTCCATCCACAAGGAACCTTCATTCATATATATATATATATATATATATATATATATATATATATATATATATATATATATATATATATATATATATATATATATATATATATATATATATATATATATATATATATATATATATATATATATATATATATATGGATTTTATTAAGCCATTACGATTCGGCGAAATATTACTCGAAGTGATATATTATACCGAAAATTAAAAGCTTCCAAGTTGAGAATATAGAACTTGGCACATACCTTCGTGAATACGATGTTTTATTTTTTATTTACGCAAGTATTTGTCACTTTTATTTCGAATCGCATATCGTTTGGAATATTGATAATAACATTTTTCAAAATTTGCTTGATAATTCAAAAATAGCTTTCTTTGAAGTTTGTAAACTTAATCATCCTTAGACTATTATACTTTGTCAGCCATCTTGCCTGCGTGATCGCCGCGCGTGGTTTACGCGAATCAAATCACCCGGATAACATGACTGAAATCATCCGCTACGTGAAATACGATGACGTATGAAGACGTGATTCGATGATAAATTTATGCTTACGTGGCACAAACTTAGCTTTCTGATTGAACACTTTGAATTTGAGGATTAATATTCCCCGAGCCATCTTTTTTTGAAGAAATGAGAAGAATTGAAATCTATGGGAAATCGTGAAATATAGGGCTTTGAATGTTTGCTTAGGAAACTTTGCTTGGAATGTTTAGTGTTTATGAATTTTGTTGCTTTCATTTCTTGCGTGAAACATGCACTGCTTTCCTTTTCAATGAAGCTGTAAGTTTCCTAAATTGCCCTGTTTAATTTAAGAAAAAAAAAGTAAGATGTAAACGAGAGCAAATTAATTTGAAGACCTACCTGAAATTACTAAACAATTTGAACTTATTTTGGTTTATTCAGTAAAAATAGTTTATCGTCAAAAGCAGTTTAGTTATTTAGGTTTAATTTTACATTCAATCAATCAAAGCTCACAAAATTGAAAATAATATACCTATACAGTACATATTTTGGAAATTCATTGTTATATAGTTAAAAGTAATAATCTTTCAACTATTTTTGACGTGCTGTACAAAAAATATAAATAAAAAAAATTAAAATTATCGTGTTGACATGGCAACACTGACGTAGACGCGAGCCTGCTTTCAGTGTTGATCAATTACAATACTATCATGTTAAATCAACGTTGGGAAAATATAGGGTAGGGGTTGCTGCATTGCATGTATTTCTTGTTTAGCATGTACTGTGGAGGTGGATAGAGCTTTTCACGCAAGTTGATTTTTGCTCTGCTCCGGGTATCCTTGTACTATTCACCTCTGCACAAAAACAAGATGGCTTCCCGTTTTATCCCGGTTACAGACGATCCAATTTTTATATTAAAAGAAGCATGCGGTCTTGCCAAACACGGAAAACCCCACAAAGTTTTGTTAACAGTCTGTACTGTAGACTGAGGTATTCTTTGAAGCTATTTCTAATGAATAAAATAACTAAAAGCGTGTAAATGCTGTTTTGTTTACATTCAACTATTACGGGAGCAGAAATACAAATCGTTTTTAAAATATTTTCGTTGTTTTTTGGTAATATTTGTTTCGTTGTGGTATATGCTGAATATTACGTTTGTTTTAGGAAATCAGCGTGGCGATATGTTGTGCATGCAGAAAGCTCGGTTTCGGGCTCAGGAAATAAATATATCACTCGTATACCACTTGTAACTTATTTGAAATGTATGTACCTATAGTTGTCATTTTACTTATTGTGCATATTTTCTTTCTTCAGGCATATATACCCGATATAAGCCATTTCTGCAGAAAGACAAACCATTTATCAAGACAATAAAGAAAGTAAGTGTTTGTTTGGTCGTTTACATACACACGAGTTTTTACACGTCTATTTAGAGACGTTTTTCCAAAACAAATACACTTGTTTAAAAGCTGGCATACCTGCACTTGCCTTAAACCTTGCCACATGCTGTAAATAGGAGAATACCGTAGGTCGTCTGTATAGAAATATTTAGTGTAGTGTTTGCATGGTTTAAGTTACTGCATGACAGCCACCTGGCTAAATGACTGATGATTTTTTTACTCTTCGTGTTTAAAGGGAGGACAGAAGAAACGACCCACAGAAGTTCAGGTTTGCGCAATTAAATTTTTGCCAATGCCAAGTAAGAAACATAATGTACGTACATAATTAGCATACGTACATATAGGTATACATTGGACAATAAGGTGAAATTTTGAAGTTTATATCAATTCCATAGAAGACAAAATTTTAAAAATAATACATTTAATCAATTCGTAACTACTGTGTTGTATTGTACTCTGCTGCACTATGCTGTCCTGCACTGTACCGCACTATACTGTCCTGCTTGTCTTGCACTGTACCGCACTGTACTGTCCCGCTCTGTAGTCTGTACTGTCCTGCACTGTACCGCACTGTACTGTAACGCGCTATACTGTTCTGTACTGTACTGTACTGTACTGTACTGTACTGTACTGTACTGTACTGTACCGCATTGTACTCTACTACTGTAATCTCCTACACTGTACCGTACTGCATTGTACTCTACTACTGTAATCTCCTACACTGTACCGTACTGCATTGTACTGTACTGTATATAATATTTGAAATCCTACTATGAGGACTGGACTAGTTTCAAGTCCACACAATTTCATCAAAATGCGAGGACTTGAAATGTAATCCAGTCCGAATTGGAGGATTTGAAATGACATCTCATACGAATAAATCACTACCTACAGTGCAGTGAATTAATTTTGATCCAGTCCAAGGACTGAATTGATTTTCACCCAGTCCTAGGACTGGATCAATTACTTCACCAGGTATCCAGTATTATCATGTCAACAAAATAAAGCAATATGATTGGCTAATGAGTTTGAGATTGCACTGCACTGCACTGCACTCTTCTCTACTGCATTATACTGTACCGTATTATATTGTACTAGTGTACTGTGTACTGTGATGTACTGGTATTTTCTCGATTCTAGAATGCTATTTTAAGAAAACATATGAGGGAGCTCACACAAAGTTTTATGATTCCTCTTGTAAGTATACTTCATCAGAAATTGTGCCAAGGATTGTTGAGTTTCATTGTTTAAGGAAGAACTCTATCTTACAGGAAAGATATGCTGCAAGTTTAATGCCGCTGCAGAGGAGTATTTCACCATGGAAGGTCAGATATGTAAAGCTTATATACGCAGCTGTAAAAACCCATTACAAACTGCACACCTTCGCCACCGTTTATGTTCTGTATCATATATAAATTATACAATGGGCTATATATTCATTCCAGGGTTTAGAATAAATATTTTGAATTTAATTATATTTGTAGGCTGTTTGGTACATGTACCTTTTTTCAGAAAACGGTATCAATTTCCCCCGTGTAATACAAAATGACTGAAAAACGGCAAACTTCGCAGGGCTATAGTATCCGCATTTTACAACATTTCGCAACGAAACTTCGGAATATTACTAATTTTGTGATGCTCTTTCAAGCTGTGGTAAAATGTTTGTCTAGACGTGTCTTGATCGAATTTAAAAAGACCGCCAGACTTTAATACCAAGGACACAGATGGAATTGCAATTTTCCAGTAAAATTACAAATTCGTAGCAAAAATAGATTAATATAAATTATGCGTGACTCTTCATGCTGGGCACTGATTTCCATGCGACTCCCGCCGTTCCCATCGCTAACAAAAATTATTTTATGTCAAGACAGAATCGTTTTGATTAAAAATCTTTAAATTTATCGTAAACATTAATGGATTACGTAGAGAAACTCTGCATTTCTAATAAATTATAAAGTCACCAGTCCTATAGTATAGAGTAACTCTATCTCCATATAACCGTCCCTCCAAACGATCCCAGAATGCACTGTGATATCTTTTGGGAAAAGGCTAATGTTATTATTCTATCTTAACAAAGCTTCCTCCAAAACTGAAGTGTTTCGACGCTGAGGAATTTTTGAAGACAGTTGAACATTCTGGTCCACAACTTACAAGTGTTCTGAAGGGGAACTGGAAAGGCTTGTACAGGTAGGAAGACCGTGGCCAAATTTTGAGAGGTGGTGCATGTGATAGCCTTCCCTGAATTTTTATACAGTTACCCTTGAAAAAAGTCAAGTGATGATCGAATCAGAGTAAAAATATGACTCAAACTCAACAGTTAACTTTCATTTTTTGTTTTTCTTTAACTTTAGGAGTTTTTTCAAATCGGCAAACTTCGAGGGATGGTTTCGAAACAGACAATATGAAATACAACAGAAACTACAACTTCTTCACTTGGAAGCGCTTTCTGTTGCGGTATGTATATATGATGGATTTTTGTCATTTGGTTTTGAGACGATTTTTTGTGGTGGTGATTTGAGTTGAAAAATATAGTCGAAACGGTTAACCAAATCACCGAAATCACCGACTCGGTGACTTATATACATTATGAACATGCATAGTGCTTTATCTAAATTATTTTAATTAAGACTGAGGAGAATCTGTTGTATGTTACGTAACACGCGCTCAAAACTAATGAATATACTTTTCCACTTGGTTATGACTATATTGATAGGCAATTCCAGCTTTTAGTTTATGCCTGCAGGGGATGATGGGATGTAAGGTATCATATTGCTGATTATGCTGAAAAAATTCAATAAAAACTACCGAAACAACCGAAATATTTCAATATTTACAAGTATAAGCTATCACTCCGTGTTTACATGGCCACCATTTTTATTTTCTCAGCATAGTCAGCAATGTGATATCTTACTTCCCATCCTGCCCTGCACGCATAAACTAAAAGCTGGAATTGCCTATTGTTTAAATTTTTTATACGTTTCTGAAGCGGTAAACAAACTTAAAAAGTATGCTTGAGCTTTATCTGAAAAGTTATGCTAAAATGAAGAGATTTTAGAAGGTATACGCCAAAGAGAAAATGCCGTCTGAAGTTCAGTAAGTTTTGCAGATATTGCTGTATAGGGCATCAATTTTACAGCATCATTGATAATGTATTCTAGTTGACTATATTTAACTATTATTTTGCGTTTCTCAACCGCCAGATGTATTTAAAATGGTAAAACTACGAAATAAAGCTAAACAAAGTAATTTTGACGCCACATCGAAAAATTGCCTCTTAAAGAAACGTTGTAGATGTGAAATTTCGAATCAGAATTTTATTCATTTATTTGATCTAATCAGGCAGCCTAGACCTAGGACTTTATATATACTCGGCTGGCTTTCGCAGGTTTGGTCAATTTCGTGCTAGCATTTGGTAATTATCGCCATGGTATTTGCCTCCTAAAGGCCTAGTCGATTTCACAAGTTCTCAAATTAGCCCCATAACTTCGTTATCAGAAACCAACAACTAAAGCAATTTTTACCATTAGTTATTACATTGACTGTAAAGACATTTTATGATTAAACTGATAATTAGTTTATAAATGTCGCGTTAAATTATATTTTAATATGTTTAAAAACATCTTTAAAGTTCCAACAATTTTGTGCACTGATTTATACTCGAAATAATGATTTTATTCGCAAGACAATCTACTGTTTTGCTTTGAATAACTATATTTGCGAATCGGGTATGAGGATTTTGACATTTATTGTTCAAATATTGTGGATATAGGCCTACCATGTGTAAACAATGTACGTTTACAATGTATCCGTTAATATTTGTCTATGTGTTTCTATATTTTACAAACACAGGGCTGCTTCTTACCAAAATTGAGAGACTATATATATTTAATGTAGTTGAAAATACTCACAAACAACATATTAAGTGTTGCTTCAAACTTTATGATAAAAAAATTCTAGACGTGTATACAAAAAAGTAGTGAGTTTATAGGCCTACTATAGATGAGTTGATTTTACCTGTATCGGTTTAAATTCGCCGTTAAGTTGCAAATAATTCAGTTGAGAACGCAAGAATTGGGCATATCCAAGTGTTGCAAATTCGGGGCAGTTTTTGCCATTCGGATTGGGAAATCTGCTAGGCCTGCTATTTGTTTCGCTTTCGCCCTTCCTCCGCCCCGCCCCAAATCGCCTAGGTCCCAGCCTTCTCATGTGAAAAAGCGTTGAATATTAAAAAAATAACAATAAAATGGAAGGCCTAGGTCTAGGCTGCTAACCAGGGTCAAAATTATGTGAAAACATTCCACCCTCTGGGCGTCGTGTTTCCACACAATTTCTCGTTTTCCCAATTTCCACTCGTGTTGATATAACAGCATATCAACACGGGAAATGTTTTATATTTGTTAAATATCAACTAATATATTTTTGCACCTTCTTTTAGGATATGACTTTATGGACATCTGCTAAAAACGAAGTTGAAATTGTGGATTTTATTCTTAAAACAAGAGAAAAAATGGTTTGTGTCTGTTAATAACGCAAAAATCTCACATCTGGTAGCAAGTCTGCCAACAAGCTGTCAACAAGTTGTGTTCGCACTGCTTGTCCCAAGTTGTCAACAAGTATGGAACAAATTGTAACAACCTTGTTGATATTATTAGGCTTGTTGCAAGGTGTTCCAACAAGTCCGATATAGTCATGATATGACAATATAGTTACAGCTTTGTGTCGTCAACCATGTAACATTCTTGTTATGTCATGACTGTATCAGACTTGTTAGAACAACCTTTTAACAAGTCTGCTAATGTCAACAAACGTGTTACAAGTTATTAGCAGCTTATTCCAAACTTGTGACAACAACTGGGAACAAGCAGTGCGAACACAACTTGTCGACAGCTTGTGAACAGATTTGTGACAACTTGTTTGCAGACCTGTAACAACTTGTGCGTTTTTAATTGTGTAGATCTGACTGTTTTGAATTTCTCGCGCTCCGATTGGTAGGAATTGACCGTTTTTCACGACCAAACTACACACATAAAAACGCACAAGTTGTAACAAACCTGCAGCAGACTTGTAGCAATGCTGTTCCAGCAATTTGTCAACAGGATGTGTTCGCACTGCTTGCTAGCAGCTTATTGACAAACTTGCTACAAGGTTGTAGAGCTCAACAGACTTGTTACAAGTTGCCCCAACAAACTTCTTATCGTTCTGCAATTCAACAATTTGTGAGTGACAACCTTGTAGCAACTTGATGAAATAACAGCGTTGTTACAACTTGTTGACAAGCTTGCTACAAACTTGTTGCGAACACATCTTGTTGACAAGTTGTCAACGGCTTGGTGATAACTTGCTACAATTTTTTTTGAGCTCAACAGAATTGTTACAAGTTGCCCCAACAACTTGTTATCGTTCTCCAATTCAACAATTTCTCAACAAGTTGTGAGTGACAACCTTCATGAAAATAACAACATTGTTACAACTTGGTACAAACCTGCTGCAAAAATTCTCATGAAACCATAGCTTGTCAAGAGAGGATAGACATGCGAATATCAGAGACACAAAATAGAAGCCCTTTGTTTGATGTTGAAATGTACCTCACCGTGCACAAATTTCAATTTCATTAAATATTATGATCGTGGTTGCACGTTTCACCTCGGCTATCGTTATTGGATAATTACTTCATTACGTAAAACTACAATAAGCTCAATCAAGGTGACTGTATACAAATTAACATAAACCCCCAATCAAAAACATAACACAATGACTCCTGTTCAGTTTCCAGAACATCATTTCTTGAAAGACTAAGTGGAAACACTAATTCCAAAAAGAATCCGAATGGATTTTCTCCCACGCGTGTGTTTTCATGCCAATTTACGTTACCCAACTCTTGCGTAAAACTATCACATGCAACCTTGCTTAAAACTTGAGTTGTACTGTGTAAATCAAGCACAACAACTCATCTACACGCATAAAAATGCACAAGTTGTTACAACTCTGTTCACGAGCTGTCAACAAGTTGTGTTCGCACTGCTTGTTCGCAGTTTACAAGTTTGAAACAAGCTGTTAACAACTTGTAACAAGCTTGATGGCATTATCAGACTTGTTACAAGGTTGTTCTGACAAGTCTGATACAGTCATGATATAACAAGAATGTTACAAGGTTGACGGCACAAGGTTGATGACACAAGTTTGACGACACAAGGTTGTAACAATATTGTTATATCATGACTGTATCGGGCTTGTTGGAACACCCTTGCAACAATCTGATAATATCAACAAGGAAATTATCGAGTGGAAATTTATATACATTTATGTAGAACATTGCACCTGATCGCAGGGACCAGGGAAAGTTACATTTTTCGCAGTTGTTCCTGGTCAGGTTTAATAAATGTATATAAATTTCCACTCGATAATTTCCATCTACAAGACCCTTCAAGCTTTATTGAATTGAGTGAGATGCCAACAAAATCTCGATATTTAACCATTTACAAATCTATTGCTATTGAATCCAACTAGTCTAGCAATCTAAGCAACTTTTTTGACGCTTCATTTTTGCGTTGTAGAGTAGTGCAAAGCTATTTGAAACACAAATTACTGACGACGTCTGGAAGAAATTGACTTTGCAGATGGAAAATGTCTTGGAAACGTTACCAGAAGATCTTCAACTCATTCTTCGCCAGAACTGAGTGTTGGAAACTTAGAGCAAGTGGTAAGGTGAAAATCCCAGCCTGGAAAAGTCTTCCTGTGGAAAGGTTCTGCTCAGCGAGCTTTTGATTTCGAATTGAAGAAGAACAATCGATTTTGCAAATTTTCTTTATGAAGATTTCAAGGAAACTTAAAGTTGGAAAAATGGAAACACCGACAAAATTTAATGCACAAGTATTTTTGCAAGAATTTCAGCCACATTCTAGTATTCTACGTTTTACACGTTTTTTATTTGAAAAGTAGAGTAAGAAACAAGAACAAAGCAAGATTCAGAACATGCATCCTGGGAATGGCGTGCGATCGGTCTCCGTTAAGCTGCAATGCAAAATATATTTATAATAACCCTACACTGTATAATACCTATTTCAAAAGAAATTATGAAGAATAAATGACCAAAAGTCCGAGACAATGGTCTAAGTTGAGAAAATATTTTATATTTTTTCCAGATTTTAGGGGTTATCCCCTGATAGTAGAAGGGATGTGAGTTTTGTACATTTATTATTCCTTGCCTTCCGACTTGCTTAATATTTTTTATCTGATGGTGTTGCATCTATCTTGCTACTTATTAATTATGAATACCTACCAATATTAACCTCGAAGCTATCCTGCCATTCACGTCACAAAGGTCATTGACTCCAAAAATGTTTTTGAGATTTTGATCCAATTATTAAAGATGGCGGCCGATGAGCAATTTTATTGAAATTTTACTTGCATTTTACACACGGACAAAAATGTTTGAGAGGAAAATAACATTCTTATAGGTAGTCCAGTAAGATTAAATAAGCCAATAAATTAAAGCTAGCCAACGGCTAGACTAATTATATAATTATATATTTCATATTGAAATGAATGTTGAACATGCAGTTCAGTGACTTTGATGTATGAATATTTAAAATCTTCAGCCTCAGCTACATGTCATAGTGATTCAACAATACTCAAAAGAATAAGAAGGTTAGTTAACTCGATGCAGAATAAAGGTCAAGACACACCGGACGCCATTCGACAACGCGACGCGATTTTTTAGTTTTTGAAAGTTAATAAAACAGCCAATGAGAGCAAATTTTGAAAGATATGTAGACCAAATTACTCAAAAAGTTATAGCGCTTCTAAATATTTGGAAAATTCAAACTAGGATCAAAGTTATCTGTCAGTGAAAATCGAAAAATCGCGTCGCGTTGTCGAATCGCGTCCGGTGTGTCTGGAACTTAATGGACCTCATTATCTATGTTTTCGTCGTGGTTACCGTATTTACTCGTTTGAGCGCCGCCCCCGAATGAGCGCCGCATTTGAGATCAATTTTTGTATCTGCGAAGCAGATATATTGCCATCGTGCGCGTACATCCTCGTACCCAGGGTCTTTTTGGGAAAGACCCTGGTATCAGCTGGTCACGTGACTCTACAAAAATTGATTGCCCAAGGGGGGAGTGGCAAAGTATCAAATTACATGCTTCCACAAAAAACGTTAAATTTCAAATACCAGGTGTGGGATTTTACGATATATAGTTCGAAGCGCCCGCTAACTTCTATTTTATACCTCCGTTTGCTTTTAAATTACAAAAACACTGTAGCATTTTATCAACAGTCAAGTCAAGAAACAAATAAAATGTAGGCCTATACTTTAAAGTTGGGTATTCCCTTTAAACATATTTTCATATCAAACTGGTCAGTCCTCAACGTTTGTACATTTTCACTTTTATCTGTTCCGAAAATATGACATTAGATTTCTTGTTTGAAAACGTTGATAAACTTTGTGCAGATTTACTAATAGTACGCGTCTCATTTTATAGTGAAGGTTGATAAAATTTTGAAATGTAATTAACTTTTTGTCACAATTAAATCACAATGTAAACATGTGGACACTGCCGAACAGAGACTAAATGCTCACTTTAAAACTGTCGATGGTTTATCTTTGAAAATACTTTTAATTAAATAGTTCGTCATATTTTTTTAGAAACCCTGTAGATCGGTAGGGTAGGAGGTTGGCAGGTAGTAAAGTACAACAATTTTCAGCGTCAGGGCGTATCATCAGGAGGTACAGTATATACAATCACGGCTTTAGGCTGATAATTTTTTGGCCTCCATGCACTAAGTAATGGGGTAAGGCAGCAATATTTATAACAGTATTTTTCTGATATACAGTACACACTTTATAATATGAACATAGTCATAGATAATTCCATAAACCACGGAATAAACAACGGCATAAACCACGGCATAAACACTGATATCACACTCAGTCTGATATGCATATGCAGTCATATATAGTCATATATATGTACCCACCACAGATATATTAACACTTGTACATAGTCTTAGAGTTTGATTCAGTATTATATTTCACAAAGTACTTCATTACAGTAAAGTAATCTCATTACAGTAAAGCCAATGTCACAATTAAAGCTATTTATCAAATTTATCATGAGCCGGATTGCATTCTCTAAATGTCCTAGTATTTGTAACATGCACGCACAGACGAGTCTTTCACTTATCTTTGAGTAGGCTATTGTCGGATTATTTTACCGTAGGTTTGATAACAGGAAGGTATATACTTCCACATATTTCTTGAGCATCAAGCTCTGAGGATGGTTCTGAAGCAGTGAGCAGTCCGAGTAGCATTGTTTACAAAGCAACATAGTTTGCGATATTTCAGAAATCAAAAGATCGCTATATATTTCGTTACACATCTCAGTATTAAATAAATCCTTTAGGATAGACATCAACAGCTAAATAACAGCCACATCGGTCGGTACTGGTGTAGAAATATATTTTCTTGTAACGTTTGCGACGTGTTGATTTCTTCGACGAGCTGTATCGGCATATAAATTTGTCTATTGAAATCTGATCTATCTTTGCTCACCGACATTCTGCGCACAATGAAATTTGATATTTACTGTTGTGTAACATTGGTAGTCTTCATGACAAATAAAATATACAATTTTGTAAATATTTCCTGCATAATTTCTGGGTTATTTCTTCGCTCACTCCTTGCTCAATGACAAAACGTACTTAGGTACCCACCCCAATTGAAATTGTTTGTTATCTCCCAGATTCTGGGAGACACGTGACCAGCCGATAGCAGGGTCTTTCCCAATCTCGTTCCCCGAGCATGCCCGTTCGCAGGTTAAGGGTGGGCATAGCTCTGGAGAAATCGAATTGATTCAGGCCTGTGATTGGCTAACGGCAGATAGTACGTTGGATTTCCAACGTGAGTTCTACGCATGCTTGGCAATTGTTGCAAAATATAAACAAAGTATTTGGAATTTCTCGTCGAAAATTTGCTACTTTTTTACACTGAAATCGATTGAAAACAACTAGAAATTCTGGAGGAAATATGTGCGAAAGCTTCGGATTGATAGGGATACAACTACCTGAAAAATACAAGGAGAACTTCGACGTTTCGAGCGAAGGCGCTTCGACTTGTGCTGTTAATGTTTGTATATATAGTACTTGACCTTTTATACTGTCGTACTTAACACTACGTATACCATAAATTCTGACAGGAGAGTTAAATGTAAATTTTAAAGCATAAAAATATATAATACTCATTCTTGAGGAGACTTATCAGTAAAGGTGAAGTACGATATATATAAACACTAACAGTACAAGTGACAAGTCGAAGCGCCTTCCCTCGAAACGTCGAAGTTCACCTTGTATTTCTCAGATTGTTGTATCCCTATCAATCCAAAGTCTTCGTACATATTTCCTCATAATTTTTAGTTGTTTTCAATCCGATTTCAGTGTAAAAAGTATCAAATTTTCGACGAGAAATTCTAAATACTTTATTTATATTTTGCAACAATTGCTGAGCATGCGTAGAACTCACGTTGGAAATTCAACGTGAATCAATTCGATTTCTCCAGAGCTATGCCCACCCTTAACCTGCGAACGGGCATGCTCGGGGAACGAGATTGGGTCTTTCCCAGCCGGTGGAAAGTCCCTGCGACGCAGACTCGTCCCCAGTCGTTATTTGAATTTCAATTTTATAGGGACGAATAGGTATATATCCATATATATATATATATATATATATAGATCAGTACCAAATGTGGACGCGCGCAAGGGGAAAAGGGAAGGCGAGGGAAAAAATAACGACTGGCAGATTACAGATACAAAATGGCGGACAATTTGACAACAAAAGAGGAAAGACTATTTTAATATACACCACAGAGCGTTTTTAGCTGATAAACTCCCTTGTCCGCATGAGGAATGTCAGTATAATTTATCTTGCTATGATCAAGATGGTTTAGACCACCATTACAGGACAATCCATAAATGTCCTGTAACGTGTAACCTGTTATTTCAGGCTTTCAGCTGATTAGTGATATTAAAATTTAAAAGGCGAAAAGTCTTATTGTGCCAGAGAACTGAGAGAAGCACTCAAAGGAAACACTGTCATGTTTGGAAAAGCTATCGATTAACAACCAATCGAAGGTATTCGTAAATCTTGAGTGTTGAATGCCTTTAATTGGAGCCAGCGAGCAATATAAAAACAGGTAGGTATTTTATTCAATTTTATTTATGCGTTTATATCTTTATATTTCACGATGAAATGCACTCTTAAACTCTTTGGATTATAAAGAAAACAGCTTTTTGCTGGGGTTTTTTTTTGCAACCTGTGTATTTCACAATTTGGTTGCTGAAACTACAAATTTTTGTTATTTATAAATTACTTTATAAAATTACTTTATAAAGTGCTATTAACTCCAGGTTTTGTGTAATATGATTATGTGCCAACTTAAAACTTTGCATACAAGGCTATTAAATCAATGACAAGACTTTTGGAGCATTCAAATATTTCCCAAAATACCTGTAAATAACAAAATATACCCCTCCCCCTAACTAAATGTTACTGTATGATGAAAAGACGTTACATTGGCCATTAACAACACATTGTTGGGGGGCACAGGGTTGTAGGGATAATATAGAAGCTCAGGTGGCACATAACTCCTATCATAGCCTTAATTAAACAATTTGGAAAACCAGAAATACTGTATCAATGCACTGGGGGCAATCTGGCAATTACTTCTATGTTCTGACAATCATTGCACCCATAGTCCTTGAAATGATAAGGTAATTTTTACCTTGTATCATGGCCAACGTTTAGGGCCACTTTCAGTGCCTTAGCAAGCTCGATAATTGGGGGAGGCTCATATTCATATATTCGTGTTCTGCGTTATTAATTTCTTTTGAAATTGATTGTTTTTATGGACTGTGAATATGAATATATGAATATGAGCCCCCCCCCCCAATTATCGAACTTGCTACGGCACTGACTTTTGATTGTTATACCATTAAGTCTGATAATTGCACCACCAATGGTTCTGGTATTTCTTGTTTTTCCCATCATCATTTCTGTACTCAACTTTACAACATATAATATATTCTTGTTTATTCCAGAATTATCTTACAATTGGAACACCATTTA